TGTGCTTTTAATTAGCAGAGGGATGCATCACACCACCAGAAGCCAATTCCTCAACCTTGCATAAGTTGGTTACAGAACCTCTGGGTCTTCAGCCACCGTGGCAGCTTTCTGGCCAAGTTGGGGGAAGCGTGGGAGCAAACTCCAGGCACTGTAATTTCACCACAACCAGGATTTTTATTAGAGACTATTGCAGTAGCATGCAGCAGATTGAGCTGAGAAGTTCAAAATAGGAATGATCTCTTGTCTTGGTTTTCCACCTGCACTGAGTCACCCAAAGAATTTACAGGGCTCAAAGACATGAAGGGAAATGCAGATAAAAAGCTGAAAAAGGGACTAGTCCAAGTTAGTGGATAGTTTCAAGAGACATTTTATTTCATTTGCTTCCCTTCTCAGTAGGTAGGGTATAAAGAACAGACACTGTTCCCTCTGCAAATGGTCTGTCTAATGAACATGGAGCATTTCAGCCAGCTGTTATTGACTCTCCAACAAAAGAAAGAAAGTTATGAGTTCTAAACTAAGCTATACAGGCCATTGGCTGAATTACTTCTTGTCTGATGAGTCTTTCTGTGTCCTACTTCACTACAATCCTTAGGACTAAATTTATACACAAGATCTAGCTAAAATACTGCACAAAGTTAAAATACACAGCTTTTCTCTTACATAATAGATGACTTCTGTGAAATTTACAGTAAGTCAAGTGTCTGACCTAAAGGGTAGTTAAAAAAGAAAAAAAAAGAATAATTGTAGTAAGACCTAAGTAAGTTCTTACTGCTCCCACAAAAGAGAGCTTTTCATATATATCATCTGCTTTAGCATCACCTGCTAAAGGGAATGTTTAGAAATATTTCTACATCCATGTAAACAAGTTAAGAAAGTAGAGGGTGTGGTAGTGATAACTATTTACCAAACCAAGTGAAGATCCAAACAGGCTGTCTTATCTTTTGAATGAGTCATTTTAGGTCATGCAGGTAATGGTGAAATCCCTTCCTTCCAACAGTGAAGTTTAAAATTACCCCTCCTTCCTCAGGGCCAGGTAAATAGGTTGCACCTCTTTATCTCCAGTTTACTTGCACTGGGAGTACATTACTTTCCAGAGAAACTGTGGCTACAAGATGGAAATCAAAAGCAAACATGGCCAAATGAAAGAGATGGGTTCTGACACCAAGAGTCACAATAAACTATCTACCAAAGGTAAAAAATACTTCATATCAGAAGGCAGAAAAACTGCAGAACTCCAGTTACCCTCTGAATCCTCTTCTATTTGGGTGGAACTGTTGAAACTAGATGCTCCATACAGAAACAGTCATAGTTTGGGGTTAAATTCAACTCTATGAAGAAGGCCATTATAAACCAGTATTTAATAGCCACTTATGACATATGACAGCTCAAGCAGTGCATTTTATGTGCTATTTCTCTGTAAAAATCACCCTCCCTGCCTAAATACTTGGGAATAAAAACATATATGTAAAGTAAATAAACATATATAAAAATATACAGAATACATAAAATATATAAAGGTTTTGATGTAGCAGACAGGTTATATTTTCTGCATATTCTAAAAATGTTGAAAAAACAGATTTCCCTTTGACTCATATAAGAGAGGAGAATATAGACTGCCTTACACATGCATGGCTGTGATGGGAGATGCTGTTGTTACTTCTCAGCTTTTTGGATGAAGAATCATCTTCTTGAAACTGTAAAAGTCATGAAACAATTTGTGAGAAAGGCTTTTACATGATGCAGTCAATAAAGCAACAGCAGCAGAAGCTTGTAATTGCCTTGGCTGTGTGTACTAGAAATGCAAATGTACAAATTGTATAAATGGTAGGGCAGGACTATTCAGCAGCTTTCAAAGTTTTTGGAATTACAGTGGTATATAAATGTCTGCACAGCAGTTGAATTCATCAAAATCCCACGTCTTTAGTTCATCTTCAAGAATTTTTCAAAGTGCACCAGTGCCACACAGAGACAGATAGAGGAAAACACAATATAGCTGGGAACATTCTCCCACATATGGACATCCATATCCAAAACAAACACTGAAAATCACCTGGGGCCTGAAAACATCAATCTAGTATTCATTGCTGGTTTCAGTTCTGGCCAATATGATTTTCTAATGTAGGAGTTGTCCAGTTTCCTGGTTTTGTTCCATACCACAGAATTCATTGGATTACCCAGCACTGATTTCAGTAACAGAAAGGTTAGGTATTAGCAGGTAATTCATACAGATTTATTTCCATTCTAAAAAACAGGTGGAAGATTTAGGTATATTAATGCCACTGATAGCGCAAATCAGCAAGTTGCCTTGAGGTGTATTTCCCACTCAGAGCAGCAGCAGCTAAATAGAATCATAAAATCACAGAAGGGTTTGGATTGGAAGGATCCTTAACAATCATCCCATCTCATTCCAACCCTTTGCCATGGGCAGGGACACCTTCTACTAGACCAGGTGCTAAAAGCCCAGTCCAACCTGTCCTTAAACACCACCAGGGATAAAAGCTAAACCTTCCCATACCAGAAAGCCTGTCTGAAAACCAGGTATGCTAACTACTACACTATAGGGTAACTAACCTGAAGCCTGAGATCCACCAAGTATGTAGAACAAGTTATGGGCACTTTTGAAACTCCCCCTCATTGCCCCAGAATATTAACCCTCTATTTTCCCTGAAATGGTATTTGGGTCCCTGGTCCATGTGTGGGACTGGATTTTGCTGTATCCAGGCTGCCTTTGGTTCATGTTCCCAGACCCAGCTGCCCCAGCACAGCTGCTGTCCCACAGTGTTGGGGCAGAGCAGCAGAAAATCAGTCCTGAACTCATCCCAGCCCACAGCCACTACCCAGCAGTGAAGATTCTAAAGGACTTGGGTTCAAACTTCAGCTTATATCCCTAGGCTAAGGGCAATACATGGAAATACAAGGGATAAATAATAACACTTACGTAAACATACATGAAAACAGAAAATAAACCCCCAGAACAGCTTGTGCTTTCTTAGTAATCACCACTCCTTATTTACCAAGAAAAAAAGGTCACAGAGTAATAATGCCTTTTTTGAAAGCTTTTGTCCCTAGAGTGGCCTTGTGAGATAAATCTATTTTTCCATGAAAGTGCTGGGGAAACAGGGAGTGGTCAGGCAGCTGAAGCCAACTTACTGATGCCATGTAGACAACCATACAATGCAAAACATTGACCCTAAAATAATAGGCAACATGGAGCTGTGATCACTTCAGTCCTTTTGCACAAACAAGGAGATCAGGTAATCACACAGGCATGTGCCCTTGCTGCATGTTAAAGATCAGTTCTTGACTCACAACTCCTTTTTCATACTGGGTCAAAGTCACCTCTGTGCAAACAAGAGCCACAAGCTCTTTCAGTTTCACTGAGCCCTATTTCAGAGAAACAATGGGACTTAGAGGTGAGACAGCAATCTGATAAAAGCTTTGCAAAAGTAAAGAAATATTTCTGCAAGAAAAAAAAAAACTAAATTAGTCTCACCTCCAGGCCATTGCCTCAAATTCCATTTTAAAGACCAAGCTTGTCAGCTGGGTGGGCAGCACAGCTTCACTCAAGTCAACTGAGCCAAGAAATTACTCATAAGGGATGAGCCATAAGAAATGTATTCCCTTGATATTTGTAGAACCAACTGGGCTCACTGGGAGCATGCCATTTTAAGTAATGTTTAAAGAAAAAAAAACCAAAAATAAGCCAAAATATTTATACCTATTATGTAAATATTAGTAATAATAATACACATAAAATTACTACAAAATAACTGAAATGTTTGCCAAGCAGTCTCAGTGGGGAGGTGAGAGCAGGTAAGATATGAGTAGATATTTATTATCATTACTGACATTATTTTATGAAGATGGTACAGGTCAAGTTCTGGCATCAAACTGGAAGTTTGTGAGATGCAATCTTGCCTTCTGTCAAAATGCGCTCTCCAAAAGTTTTCTGGACTGTGCAAGGATGAGGGTCAGCCTGTATGTACAAACCAGTCAGCCAGAAATCCTCATGCTCTGCTTGCAAACCAATTGACTGGAACTGGAAAGGACAGCTGACATAAGTGAACTCTTTGTCAAAGAGCTCAGCCACTTGGCAGGGAAGCTAGAAACACTACATTATTCCAGCTTTGCACAGAGGTTACCACCAAATACATTGGCTGGTGCTGCCAGTCAGTAGGTTTGATGACGTCCCACTGCTCAGAGCTGCTTGTTTTATTCTGAAGACACAGTGTTCAGCAGGAAAATCTCACAGGAATTAGAAGAATAAAGCTGTAATGAAAACAGATTTACAACTCCTGGGAGAAAACCTGCCATAGTCACATTTTGAAGGCTTTAATGCTTGGCTGAGTGTGATAGGTGGTGTCACTGCAGAGCCAGAGCAAGATGCAAAATGTGTCCCTCGCAGTGGATTCCTCCTGCCCGGGAGCTCATCCCAGTGAAAGTTCTCTGTCCCCTTCCACCCTGCCCTCCCCAGTGCAGCCCAGTGCAGCCCAGTCTGCCATGGCCAGAGCCTGCTGCCCCTCCTCTGGGCCAGGCTGGCTGGGCCTTGGTGGGGTGGGCCAGGGCCACACTCACCTGCCAAGCAGCTGTACAGCAGTTTGGGTTCTTTATACAATACTCTCATATGTACAATCCATAAGGAAAACTGCTTGTCAAAATGTGAAGACATACAAAAATACATGTGCCCATAGTGTTCAATCTGTGTCCTTGGGGGACACCCCAAAGGGAAGGCCCTGACCATCCCACCCACGGACCGGTCCCCGTTCTGGTACCAGGCTGATGTCACACACACTCAAAGGCACCACCACGGAGACCGCGCCTAACCCGAGCGCGCACGGAGCGCACCTGCGGGGCAGGGACGTCCCGAGAACCCGCCGTGACCCCCGAGCCCGCTCCCCCGGCTCCGCAGGCTCAGCGGGCCCGGCCCCAGGGCGGAGCGGGGCGGGCCGGACGGGGGCAGTTCCCGGCCGGGGCTTGAGCCCGCCCGGCCGCCGCCGGGGATGGCGGGGCCGCCGGAGCTGGAGGGAGCGGCGGGGATGGCGGCGCCGCCGGAGGCGGAGGAGGTGCTGACGCGGGGCTTCTCGGAGGAGCAGTTTGGGGCCGCCTGCCGGGAGCTGGACCAGCCGGCGCCGGCCGCGGCGGGGCCCTGGCAGCTCCTGGTGGAGACCATGGGCGTGCGGATCTACCGGCTGTACCACCAGGTGGGCGGGCTCCGGCTGCCGGCCGGGGGGCGGTGGTGGCGGGGACGGGGGCGACGGGGGCGGCGGTGGTGGCGGGGATGCGGGCGGTGGTGACCGGGACGGGGGCGGTGGTGACCGGGACGGGGGGCGGTGGTGACCGGGACGGGGGGCGGTGGTGACCGGGACGGGGGGCGGTGGTTGCGGGGATGCGGGGCCCGCACGACCCGGCCCGCAGCCGCGGGTTCCCCGCATAGGCCTGGGCTCGGTTTCTCCAGGCTCGCAGAAAGCCGCTTTCCGAGTAATGCCATTAAGTGCTGATGAGAAAGCTGCTGGGCCGCAGTGAGCCTGCGGAACCGAGCTTGTGAGCAGCTGGATGGGGAATTCCGGGTGTTCGATGTGCCACCCTCCCGAGCCCCCTCGGAGGGGATTTGTGCTCAGGGGAGCGTGTCCCTAAACATCCCGAGCCCCGCCCGTGTCACAGCATCCTCTCTCCGGGAGCCCTCCCCCTTTCCTGCCTCTTTCCAGAACTCCCTTCGCCCTCTAAAATCAGGAGGTAGTTCAGAAAGGGTTGGAGTGAAATTCTTCCCTTTTGGGGTGACTAACTTCTTTAAAGAACTTCCGTGGTTTAGGAACTGACTTGTGATTGACAGTGTCTTCATTCTGAGAGATTTATTATTCAATACTGACTTCTAAATCCATATTTAAATATATATATATATAAATATCCTGTTTTTTAACTGAGTGATCATAGTTTCCTCTCAGCTCCTTCTGGACTTCATGCTGTTCTTTGCATGACAATTTTATATTTGTATTCTAAGAAATTATTTCTGACATGGTAATGTTAGAAAAAGCCAGAAAGCATACAGGGCCGGCTGTGCTAAAGTCACAATGGGGTGGGGAAAGCCTCTTTAAAAAAACCATCACTTCATAGACCTTGGCATTTTCTTCAGTGATAAATAGTCCGTGTTTACAGTGTGGATGTGGTGACTGGCAATGGCAAGAGGAGCTTATCAGTAGGTGCTCACAGCACAGGCGAGGCTGGGGTGCCTGCCAGGTATCCATGCAAGAATCAGTGAGTTGCTGGAGTTCAGGGTGCTGGGGGTGTTCCTGCTGGAGTGGATGAAGGAGAGGCTTTAGGATTATAGCTCAACCCAGAACTGTAAATGCATTGTGCAGTGAATGAAGGCAAAGGAACTTTGGGAAGCTGGAGGCTGGATTTAGCCAGGCACATGGGACCAGGGAAGCCCTGGCTTACTGCAGTGGCTGTGCTGCTATTGTATGAATGCAGCTGGTGAGATGGAAAGTAGCTCAGGCTTCTCCTCCTCATCCTCTTGTGCTTTTATGCACAGGGACTGTAGAGCTAAAAGGACTATTTGAAACTAAAAAAACCCATTTACAGGTGTCTGTCATTTTTAATGTGTACGATGCCCCCTAGTTTGGGCTGGATGGACAGACTACGTAGGATGTGAGGGACCTTTTCAAGTCCAATCTTGTGACTCTTCTAGGAAATAAATCTACTGTTTTGTCTTTCAGTTGCTTCAGATTGCTGCAAGAGAAGATGAAGTCTAGAAGTAGGGTCTTTGTTTAAAGTTGTTACTGGAAAAATTAGCTTTTAGCACTTAACTGAACTGCAACTCCCCTGCAGCAACAGTAGTCCAGGAAGCTGAAAGCAGCAATTATTCTTCCTGTTGCCTTCTCTTTTTGCCTTGTCTGTCCACCTTCTCTGCAGGCTGCAGAAATAGATCTGGGCCTTCCTGCTCAGTGCATTCCAGCCAAGCTGATTGACTCTCCTGATGACATGCCTCAGAAAAATGGAAAAGTTTCACTCTGTAAATTGTTGTTTTTCTTGTGAGAATAAAATTGTTGATGCCTCTTAGAAAGATGATGAGTGCATGGGGTTACACAGATGCTGAATAGTTCAGGTTTGAAGCTGGTGATTGGTGCTTCAGTGAAGCCACAGTGAAGATGAGTAAGTAGCTTAAGCTTCTTGCTCACATTACTGTTTTCTGGTACTTCAAATCCTCATCTTCTGGAGCTGATTTGTGAAGGCGAGGTAAAGAAGAAAATTCATCTATTCACTAGCAGAATGTTGTATAAGCCTTCTTTTCCTTTCCTTGGGAATGCTTTGATTTCTACACTATATATTTCAAACACTCTCATTGTTTTAATTTAGTCCTGAACTCTCATTGTTTTAATGTAGTCCTGAACTCATACTAACAATGGTACAAACATTGCTCTATAGACACAGATGGAATTACCATATGTTGAAAGTAACATTAAAACAGGAGATATCCTGCATCCCACCCCTTCAGTGCATACAGCTTTCTGAAAGAAAATACCTGATAAATATTCAAGGCATATTGAGTGCATTGTATGTAAGCATGGACATTGTAAAGCATTCTTGTATCCCAGCCTGATGTGTAAGCAGAACTAATTTGCCACAAGAATTTAATGCTTCTGGTAAACCTCAGAGTGGGCAGCATTCAGCCCACACTGAGCACTGGAGCTGAAAAGGGGACTGTGTTTATGAAGAAACAGGCTCCCTCTGGAGCTCCTGATGAAGTAAAAGGGTACTGGTGTAAGGGAAGGAACAGCCATTGTGCAGGGCAGGTCAGCCTGGCTGGATTTACACTTTCATGTATAGATCAAAAAGTTTGAGAGGTTAAAGACTGAATCTTATATTGTTTTCTGAGTACTTGCCTTCACAGCTCTTGAGCAGATTTGTAATTTGTGCCCCACCTAACTTCCTTCAGCTGTTCTCCCTGATGCAGAGTACTTCCCTTTCCTGTGTGACTTTTCCTCTCTTCATTCTGTTTCCACAGCAATCAGGACTTTATGAATATAAAATCTTTGGTGGTCTTGCTGACATTCCCCCAAAATTGTGTGCAGATGTCTACATGGACTTGGATTTCAGAAAAGAGTGGGATCAGTATGTTAAAGGTAAGCTCATCTAGGCAGTGTAAAAGCAAGCTGGAATCCACATTAATTGTTCCCACTAAAACTTTCTTCAAAGATATTTTGAAGTTACTGCCTCCAAAGACTTTGGGTCAGACTTGAATATCTTTTGGGATAAGGTTGCACTCAGCAAATGCACAAGTAAACACTGAGATGGAATCTCTAATGTCTTAACAGTATTTCTCTTTCCTCTGGAATGAATTCTTTCCATGTTGGTTAAAGCATATGATTGGCATCACTGGTTATGCTGGAGCACTTGTAACTTCTAGTTGTAATGCTTAGGTTAAATTTTAGTACATGTCTTGGAGAGAAATGGGGTGGTACCTTTTGTGCATCTTTGCACAGGGCAGTGGAGCTGTGCATCATGGAATAGCAGGTTGGAGGGGACTTCTGGGATCATCTGGTCCCAACTTCCTTGGTGAGAGCACAGTCAAGACAAGATGGCCCCGCACCCTGTCCAGCTGAGTCTTAAAATTTGTCCTTGGGGAGATTATTTCAAAGACCAATGTCATTATGAAAATTTTTCCTCAGGCTTTCACCAGTTTGATGCATGATGGAATATCTTTTCCTGAAAGCATGGGTTGTTCTTGGCACCTTTTACAGTCAGGAATGGGTGTATCAAGAGTGTATGGCTTTTACAGAGAAAGGAATAACTAATTTAGTTAAGTTTATTTAATGTTGTCTTTGAAAAGGGGCATTAAACCTGAATATCCATATGGTGTTAAAACATCCTAAGTCAGCAGTAACAAGGTAAGGGTGCAGCTGATGTAGGTATCTAGTAATCCATATATTTTAAAGATGGGGAGCATTTTCTTTTAAAGCCTGTGCTTGAATTCAGAGCAGGCCAGTAAAACTGAAAAGTGATCTAAGTGTTTTGCTGAACAAAGAGCAGTGTTAAAAACCAAAGACTTGTTAAATATTGTGCTTGTAAGGTTTAGGACAGATCCATGGTGAATGATTGCTGATAATTCCAGTGGCTGCATTGATACAGAGACCCATAAATTTAACTTGTGTCAGTCTTGGTCAAATTTAAGGAGTAGTGTCTTCATTAAGAAGTCAAAATGCTCAGTAGCTTTCTTGTAGCAAAAGCCATTTTGCCATTAATGAAACAAAGAGTCAGAGTGGAACTCAGCATTATTGTATTGGATGTAAAAATACTCTGTTGAGTTACTTCAGTAGTCTTTAAGTGCATTTAGGAGAAATGAATGCTTCTTAAATAAACATTTACTTTTTTTTTAAATTCCTTCATAGAGAAAAGAAAGGAAGCTGCTGGGGGAAGCTACACCCTTAAACTAAAACTAGATAATGTTGCAGAGCTGACATTTATATCCTTGCTGACCATGGTTTGTTCATCTGTTAATTTATACTTGTGCTGGTGCTTTAAGTCCAGCATTTCACAGAAATTAACTCTTAGAGGGCTTAAATATAATGTAATGCTTTCCTTCCTACTTAAAAATTGGCACAAGCCCACCTGTTTTTTAGGATGATACATATGATGAAAGTGCTAGCCAATGTTTTAAATGTAACCCCAGTTCAACCTGGGTTTTTTCTTTCACATTTGGGAAGAAACGCCAGAAAACTTCCATTGAGAGCCTTCTTGCTCTTGGTGTTACTGTTTTTATTCCTTGGTGCTCTTACAGCCATTCAAGTGGCAGTCCAAAGGAGAATTCTCTGCTGAACTGCTGGCTGGCATTGAAATAAAAATCTGTTCACAGCAGAAGTAGCTGCCTTTTTAGCTTCTGCATGCTTCTGATTATCCACAACATGTGGACACCCTGAGGCCTGGTTTGTGCTGCAGCTGCCAGTTCAGCAGGGAAGTTGTGACTGAGGTACCACGTGCTTCTGTGGCATGATGCAAAATGGTTGGGCCTGAGCAATACTGAAACTTGCTAGTCCTGATTGCAGCACCTTCCTGATTGAGATCAGACTTCCCAACAATTTCACAGTAATAACTGACTGCTGAAGCAGTAAGTGCTGCTGTCCCTATTATGGATAGAACAGACTTGTGATCTCTTGTAGTGATGCTAAAAGAAATCAGATTATTATTAAAATGCACAATATTCTGGTTTGAAGTGAATGCAGGTGGGATGTGGTTTATGATTTTTCCTGTGTTTGCAAAAATACACAGGTAAATGAGGTAGCTAATAAAAGTTGTATTGGGGTCTTTAAAACAGTGTCATGGTGCATTTGTTAAAGGAAATCTCTGTGGTTAGGAGTGAAAGCTAAGAGAATAATCCAATGCTCCAGTGACCTCTGGTGGAAAACATAAATGTTGTGGGTTGTTACAGCACCAGGTGCATCCAGTGCTGCTCCAGCTGGAGAAGAGGAGAAGCTGTTTCTGTGGGTGACAGCTGATCTGCAAGGCATACCAGCAGAATCCTGGTTTGGAATATATTATATAGGGAAAGAATCTCCCATCTAGGGCACTGTTCTTGCCTTGTCAGTGAGATTATTGGTTTATTCTGGCCTCACTTTCAAAAACCTGGCTTTGGAGGATATGGAGCACCTCAGGCACAAGTGTGCTGTAAAGGAAGAAGAGACCACTGTGACTGTTAAGGTGAACCACCTTTCTGGATCACACTCTTCTTTACTGCAGACCCTGAGGCAGCAGGAGTTCACCCTGGCTCAGCCCCAGGGCTCATCAGGTCTCTTGCCCTCAGTGGCAGTTGCTGCCTCAGGGAAGGAAGCTGTGCTGTAGATAGGTTTTCAAACTCGATTATGTGGTTTGATTAGAACTACTTTTTCTCCTTCATGCCAGACTACTCTCCAGCTGAGTCACTGCCATGTTTTAGGCACTATTCTTAGGTTACTTTTTTTTCATATTCTGCTGCCTTCTGATTTGAGTTTCCAGGCAGACTGAAGGTGGTGTAATGAAGGCTCATAAACTGCTCAAGATTCTAGTTTGCTGTTGCATGTGTATACTGCTGTGAAATTCCTGACAGCTTTTCCAAAATTCATTAATCCTCATGTAAGATGTCTTCAGGTCTTAGAAAGCTGCACTCATCCTAGTTCCATGTTAATTCAGTATAATTTACATGGGTGATGACATGCCTGTGAAAAAGCACATTGTACTCATGACTTACACTTGTGCAGAACATGCACAGGTGAGGAAAAAGTTTTGAGATGGAAAAGCTTTGAATGAGCAAACTGTTGGAAAAGGAATTTGACTCTGCTGCCCTCCGAATTGTTCTTGTTTTTTGTTCTGTGTTTTTTTGGATTTTTTTTGTGGTTTTTTTCCCCACCAATTAATCCAATAGCCAAAAAAAACCTAGGGCATGTATTTTTGTGTATTTGATTCCTGAACAATCCTGGTACAGAACTTCTTAATGTCTTTTACTGCTAAAATCCTACATACCTATCAATTTTGACATCAGGGTTGCATGTAAAATGTGTTCATATCAGAAATCTGAGCAGTTCTTGATGCCATCTATATTTCTGTTGCAGTAGAAATTAAAAATATCTAACAGTCTTCTTCTTTCAACTGTAGAACTATATGAGGAAACATATGATGGTGAAAAAGTAATCTACTGGGAAGTGAAGTACCCTTTTCCTCTCTCAAACAGAGATGTATCCTTTCAAGTTTTTGTTCCTCTTGCAGTTTCTGCCGCTTGGTCATCCAGGAATCCCAGCAATGAAGTGATTCCATCACTCTGCTGCACTGATCTAAGATCTTGCAGTCCTTGTGTTACATGAATATATATGGCATGAAGAGGAGTGTGGGTGCCTCTTCCCACACAGAGCTAGAGCTCCCAGAGCTGAATTACTGCTCTGCAGGATTGAATCCTGTAAGGACACGAGAAATAACTTGAAGGAGGGGCTGTTTGTGATGGAATTCACTTGTCAGCTCCTCATCCCTCAAAGTGACATTGTTTTGACGTGGCTCCTCAACTTGCAGTGCAGTATGTCTATATCCGGGAGTGCCGGGAGATGGATGTGCAGGGGAGGAAGATCTGGGTTGTGCTAGCAAAAAGTGTGGCTGTTCCTCAGTGCCCTGAGAAGCCTGGTATTATCAGAGTTAAGAGCTATAAACAAAGCCTGGTAATTGAAAGTGATGGCAAGGCTGGATGTAAAGGTAAGAGGTCAAAAAAATGTGTGACAAGTAGTGTAGGCAGGGAGTGTATATATTAGCAAAACACACAAAGAGGGGGACTGGAAATTTTAAGTCAAGGGTTACTTTAAAATGAATGAAACCTTTGGAAATGTCCATTGCAGTGCACTACTGTGAAGAATCTTTTTATGTAGCAGTTGGGCTGGGTGGTTAAGAATAGTCCACTGACCACTTCCTTCTGCCCTCCCATCCCATCCCCAGTCTGTACTTATTTCCTGCCAGACAGTTCAGCTGGGGAGACTCTGCTGCAATTTTCTTAACTCAGCAATGATTCAAGTATTGTGTTTGACAGATATATAGATTAAAGGGTTTGCCTAGAACTTGACTTCTGTCTGAGATTTATTTTTTAAAGACAGTCTTATTTTATAAGACAGGGTGCCAAAAATGGTTTACAGTAATCTAAATGCCTGTTTTGGCTCTGTCAGCTTCCCAGAGGTAAACAGGGAATGCCTGTATTTACTTCACATTTCACTTCAGGACCAGTTGAATTTTTTGTGCAGAATTTAAAGTAGAACTGTTGTAGTTGGTGCTTCAGTGATGCACACTGACAGCTTCTGTCACAGTGTGTTAGAGCTGAGTCTCAGGTCACTGGTATCTGGTAACTTCTCTCTCCTCTCTAGTCTATATGTACTATTTTGATAATCCTGGTGGCATGATTCCAACCTGGCTGGTCAACTGGGCTGCCAAGGTAAGGAAAGGATACAGATAATGGTCTTTGGCTAATCTGTTTCAAGCAATGAATTCACTGCAGTCATACCCATCTTCTACGTTTTGGGCAGAATTTTTTTTTTCTGAAACAGATATATCGACGTTCCTAGCTTTTACACAGTCCCATGTTTTCTGTCTCACTATTGTATGCTCTCACGACAATGGTCGTGATTTATTTACTTATTTATTATTTACTTATTTATTAATTTACTTATTTTAATTCCTGTCAAATTCCTTTGGTTTTTCAACCAGGCAGGTAAATTTCTGCATCAAACCCCAAATAATCTGTGTTTCAGAGAATATATGAATAGCCTCAAGACAAGCAAACTTCAGTAATGCTGTTTATTCCCAAAATATTCAAAGAATGGCTTGATGCTATATACCAGATCTTAGACTTTATCTTAGAAAATTGGATATTAGATCTTAGAACTGTATCTGTTTGAAGTCCTTCGTATATATAAAGGGAATGCTTATCTTGCTTATAGTTTTTATTGGTTTCATTATGCAAGAATAACTTTTCTGCCTTTTTCTTTACAGAGTGGCGTGCCTGCTTTCTTGAAGGATATACAAAAAGCTTGCCTTAATTATTCTAAGACACATAGGTGTTGAAATTGATTTTAATAATTTCATTCCTAGATCTCTGCTCTTACACTGGATAAAATCTACCTCTAATATTGGAAAGAATTTTATTTTAGTTGAGTTATGCCTTGAGTTTTATTAGATTTTTTTCGACTGAAGAGCTAGCCACTGGCAAAGTAGCTTTTGAAAATACTCAAGTTTAACCTTGTTCCCCATGCTTTGCTTATGCTGGTTGTCAGGTATCAACTAGAGGAGTTCTGTGTTGGATATGTTACATCCTTGCACAAGAGACAACAATTTTACTAGAAAAATGTCTGAACTTGGACTTCAGATTATCTGCATGTGTTATGCCTGGATGTGCTTTTGCTACCCAAGTTTGTCATTCTTAAACTCCCTGCCTGATATAAACCTAAAAAATGCTGAGGAATTATGTAAATTACTAGAAATGTGCAATAGGAAGTCTGTGATGCTAAGCTCCCTTAAATCCAGCTGTAAAAAGATCGAGCCTAAAGCATTCAGAGCTCCTTACTTCTGTATGAAATGTAAAAACCTTTCTTTGTGTCCAGCTAGAAGAAAAAGGAGGTGACTTCTTGCATGTCTGATTTAAGGGGAACAAGTTTTATCTCCAGAGTCAGTAGCCTTATCTATAAAGCAGCTTGGGCACCAACTTGAAACTGGAGGTAATTTTAAACTGGGTGCCTGCCACTGAATGTGGATGAGCTTGATGTGGAACTTGGGCTTGCTTGCATTTTTAAATTTCATGCTGATATAAAGAATGGATGGTGACAGACTAAAAGCTTAACTGAACAGGAAATTAAATTTCCAGCACCTTTTCTTGGGGTGGTGGTGGGGAGGGGGAGGAGGGACAGGAAGTGCATAAAAGAATGAGAGGACACCATTCTCAGGGATTTAAAATATTCAACATTTTTCGTAAATCAAATCCTGTTTCTGAATGAGTCTGGTAATGGAGTAGCTTTGTGTTGTTAAAAAATAAACACTTGAAATGATGCATTTACACCTTGTGTGAATATTTCCAATAAATCATTATTTTGTCCATGTAGTGTTGTTCTGTCTCCTAGGTTTAAGAGTTCCATGGGCAGGTCACAAATGACAGGCTGATACCGTGAGTTGCCTTACTTTTAAAGGATTTTGAAAGAATAAGTTGGATTAGAACTAAGCAGGATTCTTGTGTTCTGCCAGCAGTTCAGGCATTTTTCAATGTGTTTAACTTGGAGACTCACTGGATTGAATATTACAGTGTTACACAACATGATATAACAAAATTTTAAAAGGAGGATGAATCTTCCTGGAACAATCATGCAGACTAATTAATTTGCAGTTTTTTCTGAACAAAATTGACCTCTATGCCATAACAGTCCAAAACTTTCCTGTAATTGTAAACCTACCTTAAAATTTGAGTTGAAATGTTTACAAGCAACGTGTACCTAGTGAGCTGAGTATGTGCACAAAGATGAATCATGTATAAAATAGGTCATTTTTTCATTCTGTCTCTCCAGACAATCTAATTTTGTTTAGTCTTTAAGGAAGTGAAAGCAGGAGGAAGACTGAAAGCATTTTATAATCATGAATTCACTTTGTCTTAGTTACTTGTCACCAAGACAGGGTATCCATGTGTGTGCAGTGTGCTGAGGGCTCAGGGGGCTGAATGGCTCCATTGTCAATCCTGCTGAGAATTGGGTTTCCTGCAGACCCTGCACTGGCTGTGTAGAATACACAGCCTTTGCTCACATATCCATGCTGAAATCATTGCACAGGCAGTTTCTTGTGCTATACGCAACTTTCTAAATTAAAACACGTTTGATTAAACAGCAGATACTAAACCCAGCTCTTCCACTGTTTACAAGCAACTAAGCAATGATGTTGAGATGAAAGCAACATCAGATCTTGTCTTTAGTTCCCTGTGGGCTTTTAAAGTAACATAAATATGCAGTGACACTTCAGTTTAAGTCTGGGTTACTACACCCATCTTGTATTACTAGGGAAGAAAAGTTCCAGCCTGTGAGATGAGGCTTCATATCTGCATGGAAGATTGTGACTAGAAAGAGTTGGTATTTTCAGGCTTTGGATGGAAAGACATTCTTAAATAATTTTAAAGCATTATTAATGATTGATTAAATATTGATCTTCCATAAATTATACATGTGTCATGTGAGCCTTTCTGGATAGCTTGAGCAGGAATTTACCTGCAGTGAAAGTTGTTAAGTCACCATGCATTATGAATTCTGGTGCACAGGGTTATAAAACATGAAACCCCCTTCCCATGCTATTTGTTCATGTAGCACCTTGAAGTTGGTTTTGTTTCACCAGCTTGCCTAAAACTGGAGTGCAAAGTTAGTTCTTTTAGTGTTCTGTTGTAAGTAAATGATTATTTGAATAAAAAATGAATGAACATTTCTGTTAGGTGATGACTGAGCCTCTCATCTTCTCTATCCCACCCCATTTAACAGATTGGGAGGTATCACACTACAGATTAACAGGGACTAATGAAGTTTTCTCAGCAGCCAAATAGAACTAGAAAAATGCTGTAGTTTCAGTCAACAAACGGGCATCTGCTCCAAAGTGCAATATCAGAGTTTGCATAAATCATAACAAGCTTTGGATCTATTCTCATACAGAACTTCTGTTCTAAATTCAGCAACTCTTACCGAAACACGTTTTGGCACGTTCTCCACAGAAAGAAGTGGTGGTTTTTTTGGAATGACTGGTTCCCCATCCCCTGTTTCCATGAGGAATGACGCTGTAACAAAATTAATATAAACCATTCTTCCACGATGTGTTCCAGCCATTCAACTCCATTCTTTCCACGCAATCTCTTAGTAAAATGAATGTATTTGAGTTGGAAGGTAAAGTAAGGCAAAGATTCTCAGTAACCCAAAGTCAACACAGAGAATGATGTTAGATTCACAGTCACTGGTGCTGCCTCTTAGAAGATGATGTGCAAAGGGAAACACAAGTTGTCTTGCTCAGGAAACAACTGGTTGATGCTTCACTTCTCAAGCAGGTCATCATCTGTTTTATGATTTAGTGGAACAAAAAATGTGGGAAGACAGGGGGATAGACTGCTGATGCTCGTCCATGCTAGTAGATGATCTATCTTCCCAGCAACAATTTTGCTTCCCATTATGACAGTTTTCTATGTACAAAGAACATTTTCAAAAGGGATCTAATGATACTTAAATGCCACTCAGCTGAGAGTGATTTCTCCCTGAGCACAGATTTGCCTTCCTCTATCAAGATGATAATTCATAACCAAATTTACTGTCTCACTATAGTTCTCTGATCAAACTACTACACTTTCAGACAAAAAACTTTGTTTTCGCTCCTGTCAGTTAAAATACGCTGAAAACTTCCATAGAAGTGCATTTCCAAAATAGAAAAGAAGGCTCGTGGCAGGAGCAGAGTTGTTATAAATCCAGATGGACTGCATGAAAGATAAATGCATTTTGAGGAGCAATAAAAAAGAACAAATCTCTACAGCAAAATTGGTTTTGCTGGGTTTTTTCATACCACTCTTGTTTGCAATTGCAGACTTCGGAGTCCCGATCAATAAGGTAAATAAAACTGGGTTTAAAGCATCCTACTCTTTCTTCTCTGTAACTGCCAAGGAACATATTAATTACAATTACATTTGCACACATAAAGAGAATGTTATCTTTCTGTTAGCTCAGTATTCTCTGTTCTTTGAGAACTTGACCATAAACAATTTTTCTCATTTGGAATCTGAATGATAAATGTATCCTTAAGTCCTGCTGTGAGACAGGAACATTTTAAATGGAAACTCACCACTGGAAACCTTCATTTCCAAAGTAAGGACTGCATCCTGTGAATAAGTGTTTCAGTGGAACCTGCCTTAATAATCATGTCAAAAGGCCTTAAACATACATATTCATTTTAGCTGTGAAAAATTTCCTGCATCCCAGCTGTGAAGCAGGTTAAACTGAAAGCTGTTCCTGCATTGTAAGCACAAGTACCTGTAATATTAAGATTTAAGTGAGTTTGCCTTTATCTATACTCTCTGTATTTCCTGCAAATTCTAATATTTTTCTAAGGCCTGTTTCAGCTCTGGAGGCAAAAGAGGTTATGTGATGGACTGTAAGAATCAGGTTTTGCTCCAAGCTTAATTGTCCTATCATTCTTCATGTATGGAAGAAACCCATGAGAATTAATCATGTTATTCCTAGGATGACAAGTTTGGGATTGAAGCAGTTCTTCTACAGCACATAAGGCCAAGGGTTTCTCTGTTCTGTGACCAGAGGCCTGCTGTGAAGTTACAAGGCTCACTGCCTTTCTGCATATTTTGGAAGATTTTAAGTCTTTCCCTGTTTTGATCACTCAGAGCCATGGGGAGTTTGGCTTTTATTATGCCTGGTGCATATACGTGTCTTCCAAAGCATGATAGAAATTGTGTGTAATTGCCTGGAAATGGATATTTCACATTCAGCTGCAACTTGGAGTTATATTTTAAGAGTGGATTTTAAATATTATTTTTATTGAGACTGGGCTACTGCTGTGCATTTTAAAGTTAATGTGTTTTCTCAGCATGGAAGCCATAGAATCGATTTGTGCATTTGAGTGGATCTCACAAGAGGCCAAAATCGCCTGGCCAACCATTAACCCTGTGAAAGGGTCATGATGCTGTTCAACTATTCAAATTAGAACAAACAGTAGGAACATGCCTTCAGCAGGAAATTACTGTGACTCTAGAAGGGTCTATTGTCTCAGAGTGTGAGGTGGGCATGTGTAAGAGTACGTGGCCTTCCGCTGATTTTTTTTTCTTGTAACATGGGAATAAACTGACCCTTGATAACATTTAAGGTGTTGTTCTAAGAACCATGAAGTTGAGAGCATTACCACTGAATGAATAATGAGCTTGATAAATTCACTACAATCACAGTCAGGCATTTAGAAAAACAACTTTTAAATCCAAGTGGATTTAACAAGTTAGAGAATAAGGATAAAGAAGTAATCTGAGGATCTTTTAAGGTCTTTCAGCAAAGACAGGCCTAGAAATACCTGCCAGGTCACCAAATGCAATTATAGGCATCACATAATATAAGTTCTTCCCTTGCATAAAGTATGTTTAATTTTGTGCTTAAGCCATCCTTTCTTTCAGACTTGTAATTCTGTGCTCAATATCTTTGCTAGTAAGTTTGTTGTGAAAATATGACTTGGGTAGAGAACTTGTATTTTGCTCTTTTTTTTAATCATCTTTTTTTTATGGCCAGTAGATATCAGAATGCTTTATGCCAAAATAAAGAAAGTTTTTCTTAGTGATGATAATCAGCAATGAAACAAATTGCTTTGAGAGACTCTAAAATCTCTGGTTTTGGAGATACTCAAAGCTGAAGTGGACAAGGCCCTGGAAAATTTATCTGACCTTGAAATAAGAGCCAGCCTCAAATTTGTTGCTGCTCTGGTCATCATTTGACTGCATGATGAGATGATCCCATATGTCCCTTCCAAGCTGAATTATTACAAGATTTTCAATATTAATAAATCTAGGAGATTATAGTGTGAATCCTTCTGAGAAGGCAGCATTATTTTCTTTCCAAATGCTGTTATTTAACAGACTGACTTCCAGTGAGATACAATGAGTCACACAAGTGTATGAAAAACCTACAATCAAAATCTGTATTAAAAACAGGTACATAGATATTTTTGGCAAGATACTTTTTGTAAGCTGCTTTATTGCTTTAGTTTCTTATTGTAACTAAAATTATTGGTATGAAGTCTGTGAGAAATCTGAGAAATTTAAACTAAATTAAATGAAGGCAGACTTTCTGAATTTTTGTTAGTGAAACAATATCGTAATAAGCATTACATTACATTACAGAAGCAATAACATTATTGAGTGAGAGCATGGTGACTAAGTTTGGAAAAGGGCAGCAAGAGCACACAAACTGAGGCTCAGCTGCACACTCCCAGAAATGTTACTGGTGCCATTTGTTCTTGCTCATTTCCTGTTGCATCCAGCAGCTGCAGATCATATCTGAAAGGTTAAAAGCTGGGAAAGGGCCAACTGGGCAAGGCTGAGA